GTTGTTCTGGCTGGCCTGGAGATTTTTCTGCCCCCCTATTGAGAGAAACACCTATCAAGACCACTTTCAGCGGCAGCTGCCACATTAGCAGAGATTGATGGGCGCTCTAAGTGCTTTGCAGGCATAGGAAGGAACACCGCTTTTGGATTAAAATTGGAGGGGAGGTGAAGTATTGTCTGAGGGGGGTGTTTTTGCCTATTTCACTGACCTCATTCCACAAGCTATGAACTTTCTGATCAAGTCCTGCTCAGCTCAGTTTATCCAAAGAATGAGGCTTTGGGTAGCGACTATGTGTAGGCATTGGCTTCTTGCAACTACAGTGCTGAGGTGATGAGAAAATAGTCCACCCAGATCTCTCCAAGGATCAGAAGCAGAATGTCTCCTGATCCATCATCAGTGCTGTATATTCCCTACGTTCCCTCTTTTTCTTCCAGTCTCCCAGGTAAGTCAAGAGAACAACTTTGTATTCTCACCGTCCATATCACTCTCTAATGACTCAAGAGTATTCTTAGAACCCTTGATTTGTGGACAAGATAGCTTCTGTACTTGGCAGAAAAATGGTGACAAATTACATGTTGTTTCTCTTCCGTTAAGGCTACAGTCAGTTAAATCAGTATCCAACATTTCCTCCTTTCGTAAATGCTTGTCTGTATCCTTCAGGAATGGTGGCTCTGTCTTTCTCTGTAACCTGAGTCTAAGGAAGTTATGGCTCTACTTAAACAAGTTTTAATGTGTCGGGGGTTATTAACTTCACAATTTCACAACACAGGGGCTTCCCCTCTAAGCTTTTCAGAAGAAAGCCCATAGCTTCCCACATAAGAATTCATAGGAAAATCCCTCTCCAAATGCCTTCACCACTTTGGTCTATGTAGGCGCTTATCATTCTAGTGGACTGAAGTTCAGTGTGGTCCAATATCTGTTTCGCAGTGATGACAATATCTGCAAATCAGTGATCTCAGCAGTGACTGACTCTAAAATATTACTGCACATTGGTTCTCACCTGTCACCTGCTTGGCTTTCAGTACTTCATGTGATTCTACTATGGATCTAAGCAAAGCAGATTCTACAACCTTAGAGAAGGTTTTCAGAAGGACCTCATTACTCTTGCCAGCCATTTACACCAGAGTAACTTGGTACAGAGTATCCTTGCCTAATTCCATAGGTGAAGTTATAAACTCAGAACCTCTACACCTTTAACACACCCTCCCCTCTCTGGGTCTCAGCTTTTCCCTCCTGAAAGAGAAAAAGACTGGCTAAATCAGCACCCCTTAAAGTGTATGTTCCCAAACTATGAACATCCTTGGTGAGAGAAGTCTGGGAGACTCTCAGAAAATAAATTTTGCAAGTTCCTTTTCTGCAGATCTTCAGGGCTTTGTATAGGAAGAACATTTAAGCATTATGAGGCAGTTTGTGTACACAAACAAGTTATATTTTTCAAACTGCACATCATCCCATTCCTTCCGTATTTTGAGTGCACATCGTGGAGGAAGAGTTCTGATGAACACACTTCACATTAGCAAAAAGCCAAATTATTTCTAGAACGCCTTCAGGTTCAAGAACTATTTTTTTCTCTTTATAATCTCCTCTTCTGATTAAGAAGCACAAGTATTTAACATTATAGGAAATGCTAAAGAGGAAAATATATGTGTGCGTGTGTTAAAGGCAAACTCTAAAACTTGATTTGAGTAATAGTAATGAAAATAAATAGGCATTATTAAGCATCATTTTAATGTGTTAGATACTGAGAAATGCTTTGCTTTCATTATCTAATTTAATTCTCACAGGAATCTTATGATCTATTATTTTTTATCTCTTATTTACAGATGAGGAAACTAGAATTTAAAGAGGTTTGATTATTAATAAATAAATAGTGCAAATCACTCAACAAGAAGCAGGGACAAGACATCCATCCTTTGCAATTTCATTCTAAATACATTAAATAATCAACGTACTAAGCTTTCTGCTTTTGTACCCCAAATCAGCAAGTTGCCACACTAAAGTAGATATAAACTAATTGCAATAGCAATTATCTTTTATGTGAAATTCTGAAATTAGCATGAAATAATGTTGAATCATCATTCTCATATATACTGAAAATATATATAACAACTAAATGTTACCAAATGATTTATTATGATTGGTGCTAGATTACAATGTATATGAAATGGAGTCATTTATGGAAACACATAAAAATAGTTACCTATTTCTGTAATTATATTCACACAAGAATCTGAAATATAGCTTCTGTTCTGCCTTTTAAAATATATCCACAGAATGACTTTTGTAGTTTTCACCATACAATTTTACAATACTGATACCGCACCTGTATCATCTACTATACTATAAGAACTAAACAGAATATGAAAGCAGTTAATAGCAAATTAATTTTTATATCTATCAGTGATTTCAAAGAAAATAGTTTGTTTCCATTGGCAGTGAGAATAGATGGTAGTAATTAGCACTGTCGATATTGCATACGTATATATGTATGTATATATTTATATGTTGCTCAGGGCTGTTGTTCCATCTACAGGCAGTTGCCTTTTGAGTGAACCAATAATTGCCAAAATAGTGTGCAATTCCACTGGGACATTAGTATTACTATTTTTAGCATGTTTCTCTTGCAAAAATACATAGGTAAGAAAGAAATACAGCAGGCTGAGATGTACAGTGTTACATACCAAGGTAAAACAGCTACTGAGTTATCAGCGTCACAGTAGTTTATGTATATTTGCTATTCACAGACTGCAGCCTTTTGCTGAATCACCAAGCTGCTGGAAATTGACGACGCGTAGACATGCATTCGTGTGAGTCCATAATTAATGACGTTTATACTGTAATAAGCACGTTCATTTTAACACCTTTCAGTAAACAGATTCCTTTAAAGTTTGAGTTAAATTAGTTATCACAATTACACACAAAAAGAACCTGGAAACAATCTGACATTACACTTATGTACAAGCAAACTGCATTGGAAAAGAGAAGAGGTAATTTCAATGGGTGTCACTTGGTATACATCTGTGTGCAAGAAACTGACCCAAATCATCAAGTGCTTGAATGAGGTCAGGAAAAAGTAACATGAGCAAGGCCCTAATAAATTGCCATTGTTAATTCTAGCAAAATTCAGACTTCTTTGTGCTGGCATCGCTTTCAAAGCATCAGAGACAGAAAGAGGAATTTGACAATCCCTGGTAAAATATATTTGAAGATCTCCAGGTAATCTCACCAACAGGGTCCTTAATTTTATGTGTTAAGGGTTGTGCTGATATTATTTAATCATGTCAATTTAACTTGGACAAATTATTTTGTTAGGTTCTACCCAGTACTGTCTTGGTTATAAACGATGTAGGAAACAAGAATTTAACTAAGATTTCTATTTAAATTCCTTCGGCCAACACAAAGATTCATTTTACAGACTAAGCTGAACACTAAGACCAATCCAAGGAGTGATTCACAGAAAGCAGATCCCATTAACAACTTTTACTGGGTTCTGAAATGCAGCTTCCCTAAATTGGTGTTTCTATGTATTTTAAGTAGTATATTTTTTTCAGCAGTTCACGAATCTATCTTTTAGAACAGAAGCAAGGTCAGGAGTTCTGACAGTCCCACTCTCATGATTAAAGAAAAATACATTCAGGAGAGAATTTTAAGAAAAATTCTCCTGATTCAACATTTTCCTTTGAAATTAAAAATAAACAACATGGCATGGGAACTTGAAGCCAGGATGATGTAAAAACCTCCTTCTGTTCCAAACTTCTGGAGAAAAATAATCATTCCTTTGAGTGTCCTTAATCCTAATTAGAATATTTAAATATATAAATACTTAAGATTTAAATAGTTAAATAATTAGAATATTTAGAATATAAGAAATAACTTTTTGCTAATGCTTTTAAGACTACATATTCAAGGAACTCATAGGGGAAAAATGAATGACGATATTTGCTTCACTCACAGGTGCTGTAGGTATGTCAGAGGAGGAGTCTATGCCTGGTATCTCAGCTGATTCCCGGCCTGGGAACCATATATTTCTGAAGGGACAGGCTTGTTCACATACAAACTGATTCCAAGGAGCACCAGGGAAACTCTGTTTGCATAGGTTGACTTAAATATTTTTCATATTTCCCAATAAGAGGCAAAGCCCATGGCTATAAGACCATAACTTACTGTATTTGTAGGAGTGCCCATAATTCAGTCATTTGGTTGTGATATCTATAGAATGCCAAAATAAATAACATTTTATTTCATTTGACTATACATTGTTCCTTCTTTGAGCAACTATTTTGGTATTTCTATAAACAGGCTGAAAGGCTTGTTCCCAGGAGACTAGTGTTTGGTTATTAATACATGTGTCCTTGAGCTTCAGTATCTATTTACAATATGTATATTATAAATTATCTACTATAGCTTCAAAATAAACAATTAATTCCACCTGTAAGTTGTGTAGGCCATAGAGAAAAGCACAAATGATAAAATAAAAACAACTAGGAGATGACAGATGATCCAATATGTACCATGAAGGCAATAATCTCTGGTTTTGTGCTATCCATATTTATATTTTCTTTTTCTTTTGTTCCTAAACATCATCATTGTTCATTTGGATTTTTAATTTTTTTTGTTGTTTTTTGTAATGAATAAGTTTGAAAACACATAGTTTGAAATTCCTACAAATGGTTTAATAAGCCAGTTTTATAAGTTTGACATTTCTTGAAATGCACTTTTGTATCCAATGATGTTAAATCTACGGATTTCAATTGTATGCTCTGTACTACAAATAAATATACACATTCATAGTGGAAGAAAACTTGGGAAACCAGAAATTAGTAGATTATCTAGGAAACTAAATATAAATTATAATAATTTTCCCAAACTCAAAATTCCAAAGATTTTCAAACTATGAGTTTCATGTGTGTATACATATATATAGATATTTATATATATATATAAATTTAGATAGATATAAACACATATATACATATATATGTAGTTTTATAAATAAACTTACATACATACACACACACACACACACACACACACACATACTCACACTCTTTCACCTATGTCAGTGCAGTCCCTTTTCTGCTGCTGCCTCTGTTCCCCAGCCTACAGCAGCAACAGTGAGATGTTGGGGGCATTCAATTCTGTTGGATTTCTGAGCTGACTTGAATTTTAAAAACAGTTTTAAACTCAAAGGTGAAACTAGAAGAAATCTAAATACATATATGTATGAATACACATATCTACACTCACACACCTATTTTACTTGTGAAACTTGCCCTGGTGACCTTAATGCAGCATAGCACACAGAAACGGGTAGAATCCTCCTGGGTGGAACCTGGTCTGCCACTTGGGGTTTCATAATGGACCAATACTTATCAGAAATTTGTTCTGCAATATTATGATTCCATATAATGTTTGTGGCATAAAGTACAGCCCACAGCAGGAAAAACTACCCTTCCAAATCTGCCCCTCCTTTGTCTTCTTAGAAGACGCATGCCTAGTTGTATATATAATTTAAAAATAAATAATGACTTTTAGGAAACATGTCAGGCTAGGATCTCCCTGGCCTCCCTTTCACTTAGAGTTGAAGAGACAAGGAACAGACAAAGTCCAGAGAAAAAACAGCAGAGGTTATGAGACAGGTGAGCCTTTGGAGTTCATGACAATCAGCCCTGTCACTGTTAACTATGGGCCTTTGCTACTTCCTGTTTCTGAGCCTCACTGACCTCGTGTGTAAGAAAGAAGATAGTGCCAAGGCCTATTTCATGGGTTATTACAGGATTAAATGAGATAGGGTTTGTAAAGCACTTGGAATTTTGGGCACAAAATCCTTAATATGCATTATTTATAACTTAATATTTAAACCATAATTCCAGAACGTTGAGCAGAACTACAAAGAAAAATAAATTAGTCTAGGATTTTAGGGATTTGAATTCAAGTTCTTTATTCCACATTTGATTCTCTAGTCTATTATAACATTCATTATAGTGATCTGTACTTGGTATGCATTCAACAATCATTTTCTGAATGCATGCATAAATAAACAAATAAGTGAATAACTAATTTAAATTCTCTTGTCCTTGGTTTCACTTGTATACAATGGGAAGTGAGTGATCTGACTTTTATTTCATCACTTGTGATGTTGGTATACTAAATTAGAGGAAAAATGTCAAATTATCTGAGATTACATATGTGTTTTATGTCCTAATAAAGTAGTTTATGCACATGCCATAATAAGGCCTGTAGCCAGGGCCTGTACTAAGACTCACATTCTTGAAAACAGGAAGTGAGATCCTATGTGGCCCTAGAAAGGATATTTTCCATAACCTTCATGCCATGTTTAATAAGTAGGTATTTAGCCCAAAGACATAAAGTGCTATGATGAGCAGTTAAAGATGAAGAAAATATTGGCCCATTCTAAAAACTTTCTCCCAGTACTGGTTTCATGTCTACAAGTACCTTGTTACCTGTTATTGATCACTCTGAAAAACATATGCAACATAAGTCGTGAAAACTAAAAAGCCTCCCAAAGAGCTTCACTGATAATTTAACTTTTACAAGTTTGACAATGCCAATGAACTATAATTTTTCTGAGGCACAGAAATTGAAGTAGAGGATACAATAAACTACAGACCTGCCTCATCACTATCAGAATGCTATGGGGGATTCTATATTTTTCTCTCTAACGCTTACCTTTCATGTTGATACAAATGGATAATTGTACCTAATTTTAAGTAAACCCTATATACATTTAAATTGGTAACTAATTATTATTGTTCTTTTTTATCTTATCACTTCTGGACATGGTACAGGAAAATGCTTCACAAATTTAAACCAAGCCTTCAGAGTTTCTCAACCTAAACACCGTTGACACTTGGGGATGGATAATTCTACGTTGTAACAGTCTTTACTGTGAACTGCAGGATTTTTAGTAGCATCTCTAGCTTCCGTCCATTAGATGTCAACAGCACCCCTCAATCATGAAAATCAAAAATGTCTCCACACATTGCTAAAAGCCCCCTGGGCTACAGAATCATTCCTTGTTGAGAATCACTAACTTAAATGTACACAAGCCACATAAATCAAAGAGACTTTTCTTAAAACTGTCTCCGTCTCTCTTTCATATAAAAAGATAAAACTATGGACCACTGGCTATAACTGAGAAAAACTGCTGGTGATCAATGTGAATTCTGTGTCTGTTTTAGCTTTCAAAATTGAATTCTAAGAGGCTGGGGGTGCAGCTTAGTAGAAGAGTGCTTACCTAGCAATGAAGTCTTGGGTCCTAGTACCCTCTTCTTCTTTCTTTCTTATTCTTTTCTTTTTGGTAAGACATTATTCTTGACCATTAAATAAAAAAACGTTTTGATTTTCTCCCACAAATCTGTAATGTCATATTAAAAGACCATTTTACTCAACATTCTCAAGGACTGATATCCACCATAAGACAAGCATCCTTCAGAACTAAGCTGTTCAACTTTGTAACCAAAGAGTTCTTCCCTTATGGCACTCAGCACTCACATGCACATTAGCCAGTGACCCAACACTAACCTGAAAAGTACACCTAGACCCCATGCACACACATACATGCACACAAATACAATCTTGAGACAATTCTTCACTATTTCGTGGTGTATCAACTGTTTCCATTGTGATGGATGGAACCCACATCAAGGAGGATCTGAAGTAACACTGATTTTAATTGTGCAAATGTAGACAAATTAGCTAAAGGTCAATCTAAGAATGAATTGCCTAGTGGAGCATTCACTGGAGAAAGAAGACTTACTAAATCTCTTGTTAAGTGCTTTTAAAGGTTGATTGATAGGAAAATAACCTTCACCCTCCCCCAAGACAACTCCCCTCATAACTGCTGGGCCAGGATACATTTTTCTTTATGGTTTTTAAAGTAATTCCCCTCAATAAAGCAAGAATGAAGGTCTAAAACTTAAAATTAATTATCCAATTAACAACACAATTTGTTCACAAACAAGTGGAACATTCTTTAAAGGTCAGGAAGTTGGGGGAGCAGAGATCGCATTTGGGGAAGGAGAGGAGAGAAGGCAACAAACCAAATCAAATTTGTTTCGGTTTTATATTGACCAAGTAACCTTAATTAGCAGCACAAGTTTATCAATTTTATTAATGATTAGTTTGCTTTGGCAATAATCTTTAACTAAATATTCACTAATGATCATGACAAGCCATTCATTCTCTAATCCATCCGTTCTCTATTTCTTATAAAGTGGGAATCTGGCATCTGTTCTGTGACTTTATAATGTCGGTAGGGCCAACTAGGTTATCATTACAGCCTTATAGGGTGTTTGTTTTTGTTATGTTTTTTATTTGAATAATCACAGCATAGCCATCTCTTTTGATCAGAGTGACTAAAAAATTCTAAGACTTCACTTGCACTTTCTTTTGTGTTATTATGTGTGGAATAATACCATTTGGAAGCATCCCTTCTTCCTTTTGCAATTATTCTCATATATGGGGTTTTCCTTTAACTTTTTAGCATTCAAGAACTTCATTATCTGAGATCCTCATAGTTCTACCACAAAGTGGGGAAAATAAATATTTCAGTGGTTCAGGATTTTATTGACAATATAACCCAAATTCATTAATCAATACATATCCACATAGATCTAACAGAATGAGCTTTGGGGCCATAGCCATCATTAAGTAACAGATGGCTTCTCAAGTCTCTCTGACTCAAAATGAGTAAGCAAATGAGAAGCTCTCCTTGGAAAAGATCCTTTTCTTTATTCCTGGTTCGATAGTATCAGGATATATCTCATTTAAAGATGTACTGTGACCTACCTGGGCATAAAACTATAATGATGGGGTGGGGATGGGGCACAAATGCACCTTACAGGGAAGGGACTATGGCTGAGAGGCAGATGGATGGCAAAGGGATCCTGATAAAATCTAATCTACCCCAGTACTACCAATGTTCTGTTTTGAGCCCCTTCTTTTAGAATAATGAATAATACATGCTTTCACTTATTTGTAGAGGGAAGAATGTTAGAGGATAAGGAAGCACCATTAGCATGTGAGAGAAACCCTGACCTCTCCACAGTCTCCAAATAGCAGTTACTAACAAAAAAGGTCAACAGACTGTCTTCAGTAAACTCAGTAAGAATGCTTTTTCAAAATGCAGATTCTTTGGCCTTGATTCAAGTTTCTAACTCAAACTTTGGCATTAAGGTGAAGAAATCTGCATCGAAAAAATGCTAGATGATTTTGTGCATATTGAGTGCTGTGAATCCCTGCTGAAATGTTCACAAAAGGTAGCTGGGGAAAGACTTCATTCCAATGTATACAGCAAGATGAGGAAAGCAGACATTGCAAACAAACTCAGGTTGCATCACAAGATTGTGATTATTAACGTGTAAGGCTTCTCTTTCAGCAGGGGTGGAGAACAATAACCATTTTGTCTACAAACAGAAGGATGAAAGGAATATAAATCAAACCCATTCCAGCAGGTTTCATTTGGTCTAATTTCTCTGCAGATATTAATCATCGTAGAGGCTTGTACGAATGACATCTAACTCCACTGTAACTCAGAACACCGAACACTCATTTTGAGTCTTTATATTTGTACAATATAAAAGAAAATAAATAAATTGAAACAGTGGGCCATCAAGATTGCAAGGCATCAACTATACCAAGATATGAAAGAGAAATGGCTCATACTAACCTATCGCCCAGCATTCAAACTGGCAAAAACATTTATCTGCCAGAGTCATCTGAGGGAAAAATAACTTCCTTTATTTTTCCTTTAAAAATTGCTATGTCAAGTGGAGGTGACAAAGATTCCTTCCAAAAAGTTCAGAGAAAATTCATATTAATCCTAGTAAAGATCATCTAGAAGTCCAAGTTTAGTCAAATTCCCCAGCAATGTGTCCAGTGGCAGAAAATACCAGCACTCACATGCCGTTAGGCCTTTATAGTAGGTGAAAATTGAAAGGGTGAAACTGCAGAAAAAGGATGCTTGAGAATCAAAGTTTGACTCCTACTGCAGGAACTAGTGTCAAGTGATTTTGCAAAAACACCTTTCCTTTTTCTCACTGGAGCATGTTTTGCTTAACACTGACAAAAGACACTCAGGGAGGGTATAAAGCCCAGGGAAACAAAAGTAAACTAGCAGCACAAGCAGTGGTTAACAAGAGAATTCAAAATGAGCAACACACTTGTGCCTGTGAATAAGGGTGCCCCTAAATCAAACAAGGCCAACTGAAAATTGAAAAGTTCCATGTCAGCCCCCTTTAATCAGTGTGCCCCCAAAAGTGAATCAGTTGGAACAGACGTAACTATGAAGTAATAAGGAGCAGAAGAGATGCTAATGAGAGCATTGTTCTCCTCTTTTATTTTAAATTGCCACTTGGGCATTTCCAGTAAGGTATCTGTGCTTGTAATTTCAAAGGAAAACATCACTGAACTCTACTTTGGAAGCCACTTCGCGTTTTTCTGTGACCACATCTCAGTACAATCATTTCTTAGCATAGGAAGGAGCGATCTGGTATTTTTATTTTCCTGCCTTGCCATTTTTCTACTGAATGTAGATTACTTCTTTTTGTTGATAGGAGGTAAGAGGGCTTCATCAATATGTTTATGACTCGGGGACCAATACACCTATAGGGAAAGGCCTTCCCAGGCTCATTAAATTTAGCATTGTGGGATTTGGGGGGAGACAACCTAAAGGATGAAGTGGGGGGTGCTCTACAATAAGATTTCCCCATTCATTTGACCCACCGGATACCATTAGTTTCTTCATATCAATAATTCAGTGCCCTTGTCATAACCAATGTTCAACAAGTGAACTACCTATATGGTTTTGTCCACAATCGAACTGAAAATTCTGAAAACCACTTTAACTTCAGTGAAAAAGGACTGACTGCCTGAGCCACTAGAACATTTATTCTCATAACTCACACAGATAGAACTCATTTCCACTGCTGCAGTCAGCCTGGGCCACAGTAGGTAACTCAGCAAGTCCTCAGAGCCACTCACCGACCCAGTTGATATTCGTCTCTATTCCAACACCGCACAGATTAACACCATGCTGTTGACCTAACTATTAGAAATTTTACAAAGGGGAAGGTGCCAGTCTAGAGCCAGCTAAGAGTAAGTGTCCTGTTGTTGTTTTAAAAGATTTCCTACTACTACTTTTGTTCACTGGGTATATAAAAATACCTGCACTGAAACAAAATAACATAGCTGCCCAGGAGCTGGAGGGTCAGTGCCATGAACACCTCTTGCACAGTACTGAATTTCCAGTTTGATATACACAGTAAAAAAAGTGGGTTGACTGACAACTCAGTTCTTCAGTTCTTGTCTGCTTGTGTGTCTAACTTCATGCTATTATAGCTAGGTATGAAATTTTAGGAAGTTGAGGCTTTGGCCAATTTACTTAAACTCCAAATTTTTTTAAAGCTCTTCCAAATGAGACTACAAGAATTATTTAATTAAGTTTCAAATTCAATTTATAATCCATAACTCACTGAGCTCTGCAATTCTGATGATAGCATTTTGATGTATCATAAGACACACTTAGAAGAATGAAGGCTTATAGATGGGTTTTACAAGCAAAGCTATGTTGTAGTTAAAATTAAATACCTGCTAATATATTGATACATAAAAGAACACTCAAATTCATAAATTATAATTCTTTGGATGACTCCTAAAATAAATTTCTTTCTTTTACCTAAGTAAAATTTTAAACTCCATTTGAATCAGTAAGACAAGGAAACATTGCCTGAGTCTATTGCCCAGGAGTGAAGGCAAGAAATACAAAAATTTAGAAAAGGTATTCATACACTGATACCACTAATAACAGAAATCAATACAAAACTTTTACGTAGTAAATGTGTATCAAAAAAAGTTTTCAAAAAGAAGAAAAGTGATCATTAGGATTTTCTCCTACAGGCACCATCCAGTTGCCCTTATTACCTTTGATACACACACACACACACACACACACACACACACATAAACACACACAAAAAATTTAAGAGTACTTGGCACGTAATGAATGACCAATGATCTTTTTTCAGTTACCACTGAAATGCAGGAGGAAGGCTGAAAATTAAAACTGGTCTTTTAACCTTCATTTAGTACGAGTCTACAAAAGAACTAGCTGTTGGTGCATTAATAAAATACAAAGTCACATGGACGGATGGCTATTAACATTTTCTTTTTGGCTGTGTCCATACAGGCAAGGATATGATTTAAAAAAAAAAAAAGATAGTTTAGAAAGCCGAAATCTTAACTTTGGAGCTCCAGCTACCTAGTTGGATTGTCATGGACATCATAGAAATGACACAACTACACCTTAGTATGGATACAGCCAAATACCAGAATCCTAAAGGCAAACCAAAACTGGCTACAGCAAGTAATAATGTAGCATTGTAATTAAAATTCTTATGAGAAATAATTAGGAGGTATGTGAAATGCAATTCCTCGAAAACAAACAAAAGCTCTATCCTTATCCAAATATGGTACGTTGTTCTTAGCTCCACAATCCACAAGGAGGATTTTGTGTGAACTGTGTAGAGAGGCCACACCAGTAAAATGCTGCTAAGAACTCTGAAACACGGAGAGGAGGGTGATGATTCCATTCGTTCAGTAGTTATTTTTATGAATCTAAATGTTTGTTTAATGTACAGAGTATCTGACTAGCTCTTCTCACCCTCTCCTAATGCAGAGAAAGAGCAAAGTTGTAAAATGGAGCCTGAGGGTATTAATTTTAAAATAAGAAAGACAATTTGTTGATGATGAGGGTTATTCCATGTTACAAAGTGTTGCCAAGAGAGGCTGGGAAATCTGCCCATGAGCCAGTGAGCATTTTAAGAAACAGGCAGAGGCTCATGTGTCTGAAGGGCTCCGGAAGGGGCTGCTGGCAACAGGAGTACAGTCCTTAGGATGTCCAGGCCCTGGGTCCTGTGCGCTGTGTGTATGTACAGACTTAGTTGTGCTTGTGTTGCACAAATACTCATGCATACGGAGTCAATATAAACTGGCACGTACAGATTTAAGTGAAAAATCATATAAATTTGCCATTTCCCCTCACCCCATAAACAAAGGAAAGAATAATAGTAAAAACTAAACCTATGCCATTTGGCCAGATCTCTTTCTACCACATATCCTCGTTCAAGGGAAGGAGGTAGAAAATGAGAGAAAAAGCCCAGTTTGGGATAAATGACTCCCCAGGTCTGACAGCTACTCTCACGTAGCTGGTTCTCATTGTATAGAAGGTACTGAGTACGTGGGACCAAGTTAACAAACAACAACAGAAATTTTTTTCTTGTATTTCCACATCTGGAAAGAAATTTACCCTGTGGATTTGCATGTTAAGGTGAACTAGGTAAAAGTAGGCAGTAGTGTACATCAGTGGACTATTATGGTCTAACAAATATGTATCATTAGCTGTTATTTTTCCTTTAAAACATGAATTTCTTTTAGGAGGTTTATTTCAAAACGGTAACTTGATTTTGTTTTTGTTTTTCTTCTCCCACCCCCAGCCCTCCCCTATAGATGATACTTCCGTAAGAGTTCAGATTGCCAAGGGTGTTTTCTCTCAGGGAACCGATCTGGAATTTTGATCTTTAGGAAATCCTGGATACATTTCTCCAGCTCTTCCTCAACTGAGAGCTTTTCCTTAACAGCTTTTTTTTTGCTGCTCATGTTCGACTCCCTAGAGCCTGAAGTCAGAGTCCGGAGCAGATCACTTTTCCTCCGCATCTCTGACTGCTGGATCAGCTGGACTGGGCCCTTCTTGATGGGACGGTCCAGAGTCTGGATGTTTGTCTGGCGTGTCACGGGCCCACAGATGACTGTCTCTTGCGGGGAGCTGGCCTCGGACTGGCTGTCGCAGCTGGAAGTAGAGAGATCATTGCAGGACGTGCCGCTCTCCCCTTCTTTGCCGCCCTTACCATTCTTGCAGCAGCAGTCGCAATGGGAGGATGACCACCTGGAAGGCTCACCTGGAAGGGAAGCACAGAACCCGGGGGGTTAATGCCAGCTCAGTTTGTAGCAGTGCAGCAGCAAACACAGGCACAAGCATCGCACAGGTAGGTTTTTGGAAGAAGCAGGATGAACACAGGGTGAGCTACAACAGCAGCAACCAGAAAGCCAAGTCCTTGAGGGCAGGAAGATAGTGTGGTGTACAACAAATAGTAGGTACCATAAGGCTTAAACCTACAGATGCCTTACACAGAAATGCCCAGCTACATTTTATCAACCTTGTTACCCTAGCAGACTCCTTAAATTTTTATAGCTTCAGTTTCCTCATCAGTGAGATGAGGATAACTTTTCTACTTCCTAGAGTTATAGGAGAGGTTGAGATAAGTCTGATGAAATGCGCTCTCAACACACAGTATGCACACAGTACATGCCAGCCAGTTTTCCTGTGGATGACATTAAATCCTAATCCAAATCCCCAAGTGACAGCAGTCAGGTTCAACAGTGAGGAGGCTCTGTGAGCCCAAGGACAGGGCTAGTGCGGGCGGGACTGCTTGTGTGAGTCCCATCTAAGGTCTGTGCTCACCTTGGTTCTCATGGCAACTCTATAAACTCAATACTTCTACTTCTAATTTCCACACATGGAAACTAAGACTCCCAAGAGTTTAAGAAACTTGACACAGTTTACATGACTTGTAAGTAGCAGAGCTTGGATTTAAATACAGATCTCCCGATGTCATAAGCAAGGCAACTATTCTGTCTTTAATTTGCCTGTCTGTGAAATTTTTGATACTCCTTGAAAATAATGTTGAAGCTTTAACCTCTTTCTGGAGTCCTTATTTACTTTTCTGCAGAAATATTTGCCTTATCTTACCTCTGGGTATGATTATATTTTTTAAGAGCCTCATTATTACACATTGTGATTCTTTTTTTTAAAAATCTTATACAATTTAGCTACCAGCCCATAAAATCTCTAAAGTAGACATAGTGAGGTGTTCATTGTCATCTCAGGAAATAACTGAAGGAGTAGCATGAAATTTCAAGAAAGAATCCTGATAACAAGTTTTAAGCATCTGGATCCAGCCACTCTTGAAGCTATTCTTGGCAATAGGCTTTTAAATTATATGATCCACTAACCTCCCTCTTACCTTTAAGACAGTGTGAATCCTTCTCCCTACATTTTCTTAAGTCTTGACTCATAAACCTGCATTCAGCAGTATGGAGACAGAGCGATTTTTCAGATACACAGTTGGTGACTCTGTGAATCAGAAAAATCTACAACCGTGACAGAAAGACACTTTCTAAACATAAGTCCTTAACCCCAGTTTTCCACCCTCTGAAGTCATGCATGCTGATCATATAGGTTGGGCATTTCCTATACTTTATTGCTCTGAAATCATGAAAAATTAAAAAAGTAATTCTCTGTGCTACGAATATTAAAGGCAAGGTTAATGTAGTATCTTTATCCATTTTGTAAAAGAAACCTAGTTTAATTTTGCTATGTCTAATTCTCATAAATAATAGGTCTCATTATAACAGGGTCAAATTTTATTGCCATTTCTAATATGGTCAAAGCACAAGAAACAAAATACTATGAGGAAAGTTATTCCTTTTTTTCTTGTATAATTTTTGTTCTTTACACATCTGAATGATTTAAAACAATTTATCTTGATACATTTTTTCCAGAGGTGTTTCAAGTCACTTTCTAAAATGTGGCTGAGTAATCATTGTATTTATATAGTCATTAAATGCAGCAATCCAATTAGCTGAGAGGACTCTTAACAGCAGAAATGTCCTAGCTATTACAATACAGTAAATATCTTGCATGGAAAAGAGAGCTGCTCAACAGGACCGGCTGGTGCCTGAAAATATCACAGCGAGAATGGCTACTGTTCGCCAGCGTGGATTTTGAGGGGAACATTTCTTGCCTTCAGTAGGCAGAATCTGCCTTCACCTCCCAAAACATGGCCATCCTGTGCTAATGTGACACAACTGAGAAATAATTCCAATGAATTGGGCTAAAGAGTGGTAACCACATCAGACCAGAGCTGATGTAACTTGATTCTTTTGGGGAAAGTACAGCAATACATTATAGAATTTAAAAAAGGGAGGAAGAAGGGAATTATAGAAAAGAGAAAGGTAAAAATACAAACATATATTCTAGGACACACTTGCCTATTACCTTAAAGCAAGACAACAAAATATTTTGGCCACAAATCCTGCTGAAGTAGGAGAAATGCAAGCCCGATATATTTCTGCTCAAGAGTTACCTTCCCCATGGAAGTCATTCCACTCAATGGACTCCAAAGGAAACCTGTGTCTTCTTCAAATATCATTTTACCAACTAAGCACCATTCTGTGCACGCAGCCTTCCACTGTCTACCACACCAGGAAACTGGCAATGCTGCAGCGATCCCGTCCCTGAACTGCTGGGACGATCACGTATTTCAGCGTCAGCTGGAATCTTTTGGCTTCCAGGCAAACAGAAGTATTACTTTCCACTTATTTTAAGCACTACCACTATTAAAGGGAAATTGAACAACTTAATTTCAGTGTAGCTTGTTACATTACCACATGTTTCAATGTTTTATGAGTGCATTTGAGTGTCTTACCATTTTGGCAAGATAATTCATAAGATATTTTCTGACATCTGTATATTAGTTTGAAAGCAAAAAAGAGAATGACATTAACACAGTCCAGGTACAATACTATTTGAAGAGTTGTTATAAAATTTGCAATAATCAAATTGAAAAGCAAACCACCACACTTCTTTTTTAGGAAAAATTACCTGCCTGACTACCTCTTCCCAAGAGCTTAGCCATAAGCAAAGAGGTTTTTAAATAGAACATAAAAGTGTTGTGAGTACCACAAGACCCTTTGCCCTTGTAGTCCCACTGAGACATCCTCACAGGTCCTGCATATGTGGAAAGAGCTATGAAAGGTCAGTTCTGTAACCCAGGATATTCTTGAATCCTTCCAATTATAGCAAACAAAGGTCTCATAAATACCTTCATGCTTTAAATTGCAACATATTTTTGCACCTAATTTGCTGAGGTTTCAATACTGGCTGGAATAATTCTCTCCATTTGGGGAGAAAATAGGTTACAATTGATTAGCCAGATGTAGAGAGAAAACCATTTCATTCTAAGAAAAGGCTGATTTATTGATATTAAAGAAAGCAGAAAATCTATTGCCTTTGGGGGGGAATTGTTAACTAGCTGATGATCAAAAAGCCTAATAGCCTCACCTTATTTTTGAGTAAGTCATTGTTGAATGTGTTAGATGTTATATCATTTTTGGTACCTGGCACATAATATGGGCTTGATAAATGCTTGATTAATGACGAATGAGCCAAATACATATATTGAATTCTATCAAATTGGTAACATGGCAGAATAGATTTCAGGCTCCAGAGTCAGGCCTTACAAAGAGGCATGTGGAGTCTTTGGATAAATTACTTTACTTCACTGAGACTGTTTCCTCACCCGGAAAATAAGGCTATTAAAAGTTTCTTCTCCACAGAAGTTTTAAGAAAATTAAATGAAGTGGTTAACATATAGGCTATTTCGTAGTTTGTGGAAAACAAAAATTAATCCATTTATTCAAATGTATTGATCTTCCTAAGACACTATTCTGCAGAAAGAAAACTAATCAGATGTTGCCAGATATTATAATGTTTTCTCCAACACACTACAAACTAATATTTTGATATTCATGCAGCTATGTTAGAAAGCGCACTGGCAGTACAGCTGGACACATCAGGAAAAACGTTTGAGTACTGAGTAATGTCGCACCTAGTGTGGGCATAGGGAGTAGCCATAGCACACACAGGGCCCGGCATTAGAGTGTAGATACAGCACGTTGTGGGGAGCAGTGAGTCTTTACAATACAGTGCTTAAAATTTCACAAATGGATGAATTCTCTAGAATAGAAAATTACCTGAAAACACATGAAGTCAAATGCAGAACAAAAAGAAATTTGTCCTATAGATTAAATGGGAAGTGGCAGGAAACTCAGTTGTCCTAAGACCTAGAAGCCCAAAATCTTTGAATATTTTACAACTTGGAAAAATCGAGGACCACTGAGGCAAACTGTATAGTAGATGTTGCCCTTTCTGCAAAAGCCTTCACAGTGGTAGTCAGACTGATAGGAAGTAAAAGAGGAGAAAGACTACAGAATATTTCTACCCTATGAAAAATTCAAGCCCAGCTGAGTGAAACATGATTTAGCAAACTCACAAAGTGCTTATGCATTTTTAAAAGAGGGAGCTCTTCAATCTACTCACACTTCAAATTCTCCACCTGCTAATGGCTGTGAGTACAATGCACATCATTTACAGCAACATCTGGGAAAACTGCTTTTCCCTGTCTTCTCTGTCAATGATGTAGGAGCCTGACCGTCTGGGAGCTCGGTGCTAGATTTAATTTATTGGGGTTGCTAAAAGACTCTTTTGGTATCCTAGCCGAAAAGTCAATAAGGGTGAAATTGATGTTTTTATAGTTCTGCTAACCTTGGAAAAGATACTGCACAGTGGAGATTGGGAATGGGCAGACTGAGTAAGCTTCTCAGAAAAACGGATCTTCAGATTTAGCAATCATCATGTCTTGCTTGTAGTTGACCTTTTTCACTCATGAATATTTGGCCCTGGATGTGCCCAGCTCCTCATTAGCAGGTGGTGATTATGGGAAAAACACACAGTAAAATAATCCCAGCATCAGTTAGAGCTAGTAAGACAAATAGACACCTTGACAGTTATCTTAATGGGGAGCATTTAATATAAGAAATAGGCTAAACAGATATGGGAAGAGTCAAATGTGAACGGTGACACTGAAGAAACAAAGACGCAGACACAAGGTGCAGCTACCACCCTGAAGTCTGGGAAGACAGAAGATGATGCAGTTATGCGAGCTTAGTTATAAGGCTTAAGAGAGGCATCTTGGGGAGGTGCATCGATACATCTGAGGAAGTGTGGTAACCTGCTGGGAGGCAGGAGAGGGGAGGAGGGAAGGGAAGGAGAGGAGGG